TATGTTTTGATCAACATGGTTGAAACACACAACACGCTCACAGCTATCAAGGTAGTAAGTCTTGGAGATGACACAAGCGGAGAAACAATTTTGTCCTACAATGAAGAGTGGTTCTGATCCCCGCGTTGTCCCCTGTTGCGTGCGTCATGATTCGGACGAACACACTGCTGTAGTGCGATCAATCCATCAGCTGTTCTGATCCCCGCTTTTTGGTCTCCGTTGCGCGCGTCATGAAACGCATTTTGCCGTGTGTGCGTGCACTGGCCCAGGCACGAACGCCATGGCAGGCCTCGTGACCCGCGGGTGCGGCGAGATGCGTCGGCTGGCCATCATCCTGGGGGGAAAGTCGCGCACCCTGTCGGGCTTGAGCGGCGTGGGCGACACGTTCGGCACCTGCTTCGGCCCGCTTAGCCGCAACCGGAACTTCGGCATCCGCCTTGGGAAGGGGGAGAGCATGGAGGAAATCCTCGCCAGCAGCACGGAGGTGACGCTTAGAAGGAGGAGGGGGGGTAGGGGTATCACTTGTATTGCATCGACCGTAAGGCTCCGTTTTTGCCCAACCACAATACAAGGCCCGGGAAAGGCTATGGGAAGATCTACGGATTGTCAGTGCCATCAGGACTATGTCCCTAGGAGGGCTGATGGCAAGCTTTAGTGATCGCACACAAAGACCTTTGATTTGGTCCATAGAGAGTGACACATCGTCAGTCCAAGACATAGGATCCAGTGTATCATACAAACAATAGATGTATAGCCTAAATGATATCCATACCACGGAGCCCCCAAGTCTCCGTAAATATTCTAGATATGAATGTGCCTACTACCATTGACCAAAGTCCACAAGACACGTCAGCTAGATCTCGCGCAGATGTACGTGCCGTATTTGCGGTTTCCCTTTCGACCCTAGCCTGTGGACCTGTGGCTTATCGCTTAAGACTTGTTGCCCAAGTTTCGGTTGTACGCGCGTCACTAGACGTCCTGTTTTTCGTGCCGTTACTCAGACTTTGTGTCGAAATTTGTTGAATCTCGCAGCAAAAGCTTCTAGGGCGGCTTGTCGTCAATCGTACCACACTCACATACCAATGTCTAGATCCCTTCTTTGTTGGCATTGCCGTGTTTGGTAGGGCTAATGGAGAATCCTCTTGTTCACCGCTCCCCCCCTGGCCCTGATACCCGAAGGTCACCGTTTCGGTCTTTGCCTCAGTACATGTAGCGTGACCACCGGTTGTGCCGTCCCTTTCGAGACGGGCCGTCACTCCTACGTGCTGTTTTCGAGACAGCCGCCAACAGTCACACGAGCTCTCTTCGCAACCAAAGGCGTTTTTGCCCACCAAAAAGGCGTTTTTGCCCATCAAAAAGGCGTTTTTGCCCATCAAAAAGGCGTTCATGTTACGTACGTACCCACCAAAGGCACTTGTTGCAGTTACATGGGTCAGTGGAGGTGCGTGCTAAGGGGAGAGGGGGCGGTTCCTCTTCAACCGCTCCCCCCCGCGGGGTGTAGCCACCGCGATATCTAGCCCCGGTAAATAGAGCAAACGGACTTTCCCGCCCGTCTTGTTTCGCCCCCAACCTTGCCGCACACTCCTTCCTCCCTTCCCGTTGTCATCGCCCCCCCTACTCCTCCCGTCAGGTTGCGGAAGGCGTGGACACGGCTCTGGCACTGGCGGACCTGATCCGAAAGACCGACAAGTCTTACCGCATCGACCTCAAATACGCCATCATATTCGGAGGTGATTTTTCGCAATAATAAGGCGGCAGTGTTGGCAGGTTTCGACGGTGTGTGTGTGTGTGTTTGTGTATCTTTATTATTAGCATCGACCGCGCTAACGGGCTGACCAATGAAAAGACGTCAGTGTGTGTGTGTGTGTGTGGAGTCTTTAGAATCCTAGCGGCAGTGTATCCCATAGTTTACTGCCGTCGGCGCCGGGGGGGGCTAAGCTCGCATTCGTGGCGTTACACTAGTTGTTTGTTTCTTGTTTTTTCTTCTCGCGCGCAGCTCTCTGCGCAATCCCCCCCCCCCCGCCTTCCCAGTTGTGTTACCCCCCTGTCTCCGTGTTTGCTTGGTCTTCATGACAACGCACCCTCTCGCGCTCACTCTGCCGCTTGTTGCTGTGTGTGTGTGTGTTTTTTTTGTCGTGGAAAAGTGGCGGAAATCTTGAAGGGGACCCGATTTCCGAAGGAGGGCCTGGAAGACCTCATGACCATGCCGCTCAAGGCCGAGATGTACGACCCGTGACACTTCGCGATCGCCGCCGCGCCGCACCCCTCGCCGAGGAAGAGCCAGCCAGAGCCGATGGCCCGAGATAGATGGATGTCCAACACAACTCTTGTGCGCATGATATGACGCTCTTCCGACAATAGGACAGGTGTTGTAGTGGAAGGACTTCTTTAAGCTTAGAGGAGAAGTGAGAAGGAGTGGATGTTTCCGACAGTAGGACACGGGGTAAGGTGATGGAAGAGGACACGATGTGATGGGAGAGGACACGGTATCCCAAGAGTCGCAAGGCCAGGGGGGAGAGCTTTGGGCGAAACCGCCAGAATATGGGACGGTCGGTTGTTCAACACAAAATGTGCTTTGTTGGGGGGGGGGGGTAGGGCGTACCGAGAGAGATACAAGAATCACACGTCTGTGGCAAGATGGCCAACCTTCGCTTTGCCCCCTCCACTAGAGCAACTTCTCGGGGCGTACACATCCGCTGCCTCGTAGATGTGCAGTCGCTGATAGAAACGTTCAAGTAGACCCGCGTTGTTGCTTTGCAGCATCGTATGCATAAGTACTCGTGCAACAGAACGAGCGGAGAGTTATTTTTGTTTGCTTTGAGTGTTGTTGATCCAAGCATGCCGAGCGGCTTGGTAAGGTCGTTGTTTCTGTCTCCCCGTCGTGGGAAGTGTGTCCCGCTCACCGCGGCAGCTTGAGCTGAAACACAGCGCGGCTTGAGTGTTTGGGTCTGTTGTTGATGTTGTCATTGTTGTCAGAGCGTGTCCCCCTCACTTGGGGGGTACGAGAGTACTTTGTTTGTGTCCGTAGCTCTCCATATGTCTCTGTCTATAGGCACGCCCTTTGGCTGTTGGTGGAATGTACTGCTGTGCTTTGTGACACGCCGTTCCCGTCTCCTGTAGGGGCGGGAGTCGGGCGTTGCGTTAAGCACAAATCGGGCGGGTATCTTGTGGTTTGGCTGCGTTTTGCAAAGCCCAGCCCCCGCTAAAGCGCGTCAAGATGGTTGATCCCAGTTACGGCTTAGGGCCCTTCTCTTTACGCCACACCACACACGTTAGTCTAGCGAACTGATTGCATGTGAAGATGGCCATTTTAGAGGTGGAGGTTTGTACTCGAGCTGTTTTGTTATTTAGCTTGGCTGAAAAGGGGGTTGGTGACAGTTTACGTTTTATTACGATTGCCCTTCGTTTGTTTCACTTTATTTAGTGGTTGTTCGCAGATAATCTACGTTTTTTGTACCCGCCTTAAGTGACACGTATGGAACTACGAGCTTACGGGGGTAAAGAGGAGAGAGAGGGTGATGCATAGCCCCCGACACCAGATGCGCCGGCACGTGGCAGCACGGGGGGTAGGCCGTGCACAGAGAATCAGAGGCAAAGCTCAGAAGTTCCCTCTCTGTTTCGTCATGCGGCGTGTTTGTGCCGATCAAGTTGAGCCAATCGCCCCGCACGTTTTCTCGAGCGAGAATGACGTGTGGGGCCTCGCTTAGTTCGGCGGTACGGCTTTTTGGGCCCCGGAGGATAGATACCTGGTCCGACGCTGTTTTTTTTTTTCTTGGCGCGCCCTGCTTCTATGCCAGGTGTGAGGTTGACCATAGTATTGCAAGATGTATGCTAGCAGACTAATCGTTTTCGACTTAGAACAACGCCGTTTTTTTACATTGAGGTCGAGTTGGTTGATAATTTTTTAGACACGCCTCCCAAAGTCATTTATATTTGACACCTTCGTCCCAAGCGGGCCCCTCACACCGGTTTGTGCCGGCCGGTCAGGCGTTTTTTTGGGACGGAGAAGGGGGGAAGGAAAGGGAGAACAGGGGAAGGGAGTAGATGCGTAGGGTAGCGTATATGTATGTGATGTATGTCTCAGGTTTTTGTGTGCGGTGGGGGGTCGTGTTTGGGCGGCAGGCGGATGGAAACGGGGTGTGTATGCATAGGTTTCAATAACAAGGCCCTTTTTGGTTAGAAAATGCAAATTCATGTATCTGCCCTTCCTTCCCGCCTGCATGTTTTGTTCTCTCTCTCTGGACAAAGATTGGTTGGCGGAAAAACGATACATGTAACTACGCTTCCCCACCCACCGATGGCTCTCTCTCTCTCCTTGGACAAAGATTCCTTGGCTGGCGAACAGTGGTCTTATGGCGTGCTCTCTTGCGCCTTTGTCGGCGGGACACGCAAAGCAGCAGCAGCAAGCGTGTCGGTCGGTCAGTCAAGATGCGCATGTTCCCTGTTGGGCCCTTGGGCACGGGGAGTGCAGATCGGCACCGGCATCTCCGGGGTAGTCGCTCCCCCGCCCTTTCCCCCTTGCCCTCACCGACGTCGGGTCAGAACAAACCGTAGCCCCGGTCGTGCCGTAGTATGCATAGGGGCATGCCCATTTTGGCGGGGAAGGCTTGGGTGTCCACCTCCATCCGGCCTGGTCTCGGACAAACAGCGCTCCTAGCGCCCATCTCTGTAAACTTTTGTTTCCGTCGGGAGCACTGCTTTTCAATTGACGACCGACCTCGGAACATGGTGGGCGTTTTCCTGTTCCTTCCCATCGGCTTGAAATGTAGTCTACCTTGGACAAGGGGAGCGAAACGTCGTGGTTCGTTCTTCGCCACACTTTGTGGGCGTGTTGTTTTGGTCGTTGGTTGCCCTGCTGGTGGTCACGATAGCCGGACCAACGAGAGACTGCATCATCGGCACAACCCGCGTGGACTAACGATGCAGAACCAACCACAAGCAGACGGGGGCGAAGGAAGGCTACTATTTACCGCATATTCTTCAACGAAAGCGGGCACGGCGCTCTGCTTCATCTCTTATACACACTCTCCCGCTTTTACTAGCCCGCAGTACAATAGGACGCCCCACTCCACAGCAAGTCCCCCCACGCAAGCATTATGAGGCAGATCCCTCCCTCCCCACCGTCGTCGCACGAGACTCATCCGACCAGCACCGTAACAAATTCTTGCCGCCGACAATTATTAACACCGCCCTACCTAACAAATAAACGTGCTCTGTCAAGAAGACGCTCATAATAAAGCTTGGCGAAACGAAAAAGTGCTCTTTCTTTTTGCCCTCAAAAATCTTCGTCCATGGTGAAAACGGAGGCTTTCGGTGCTTCTTTAGCAGCCGGTGCTGCTGGTGGTGCTCCTTCTGCCGCCTTTGGCGCAGCAGCACCGTTGTTGTTGGAGCCCGAAACCGTTTCAAGCTTGACCGCTTTTGGCCCTCCGATCTGTCGAGCACGACCCGTACAGAGAGGGGGGGGCGGGGGGACACGCGGTTGGTACCTTGGCACGGGATGGTACGGGACGAGGTCATTCACCCACCATTTGACCGCGTAAATTTTTTTCGAAACGGATCATCACAACATATTTCTCGTGAAGACAGCAACAACAACAACAACAATTTTGTTGATGATATATGTAGGAGGACTACACCAAAGGTCGAGCAAGGATGGAATGACATGAGACACCAAGCGAACACAAATTGGTTGATCCCCCCCCTAGCTCCGTGCGAAGCGGAGCACGACCCCACTGCTACACCCCGCTTCTGTGGCTGCAGCTGTGATGTGGAAATCTCTCTCTCTCTCTCTCTCTCTCTCTCTCTCTCTCTCTCTCTCTCTCTCCCTCTCCCTCTCTTTCTCTCTTTCTCTCTGTGCGTCTATCTGCCTTTGGTGCTAATAATAGCATCGACCGCGCTAACCGGCTGACCAATGAAAATACTTCAGTCTCAGGGCGGCTGAGATCATAAAATGTTTCGAACGTCGTGTCTGTCAGCCTCGCCTGTTCGATTCGACCGTCCCGTGCGACCACGACGTAAAAGGGCACGCTCTTCAGGCCCGCTCTGGTCTTGAACCTCTCTAGCAGCGCCTCCGATTCCTCCTCATTTCCCCGGGGGATGGTGTGGGTCAAGGTAGGCCAACCCCTTTCCGACAACAATGAGTTTATGGGGGGGGGGGGGGGGGGGGGGTGTCCTCATGTACATGCATGCCGTCGTCGTCAGACCGTTGGCCTCAACTGAGAGAGGGAGCGTGAGCAACAGTAGACAAGACTACGGCAACGAACAAATCGAGAATGAATGGTGGTCTGAACGCCGGAGGACGAGAAGAGAAAGAGAAGGTGTCCAGAATGCGTCGTCGTGTGAATCTACGATTGGACTACACACGCCCGGGTCAAGGTGAAAAAAAACGCGAAAAAAAAAACACGCACACACACACACACACACCCGTGACAACCGTAGGTCCAAGAACAAACAAAAAACGTCGCGATCGATCCATCCACCCACCCCTTGGATACGATCTCCTGTGCCCCCTCTAAGCTGTCGAGGTTGACCGAAATGTACGTGACAGCGTCGTCGCCCGTAGCAGCTGCCGCCGCGGCCGCTGCCAATCCCTCGAGAGCATCAAGAGCGGCGGGGCAACGCACGCAACGTGTCGTCCAGAAATCTGCACGTTCGTTTGCAACGGAACGCGCGTGTGTTCCACGTGATTCGCCCAAACGACGGAGGGGGGGAGAGTGAGAATAGTTGGTGCCGGAAAGGTCATTAACTAGTATTGAACGAGCTCACGAAATGGACGGGGGCGGAGAGGGTGAAGGGTAGGAAAGGTAGAAATAAACAATGCCTTTGCGACATTAGTTGGTCGTGAGCTAGCCGCAGCACGAAAAAATACCAGACAGGAATAGTGGTACTGACAAATGGCGAACGGCAGAAGGCGCGCACCGATCAACTCCCCCCCCACTCTTTCCCCCGAGTTGTCGTTTGATTTTCTCGTGGCTCGAAATAAAGGTCTACTGATAAACCTAGTGTCACCCCCCCCCAATACTTCCTTCGTACACGTTGCGAGAGTGCAAGACAACACACACTACATATAATCCTCCCGCCTGTCCGAGAGGGAGGGGTCCGCACACACACCTAGAACCGCGGGCCCCCCGGCCCTGACGTCGTCGAGCGTGGTCGCGGAGCCCCCATCGATCGGCACAACCTGCAGAGCCCAACCGGAACACCAGACAGGAGAAGAAGACGAGGAAGATGAAGAAGAAGAAAAATACAACCGACAAGGGTTCAGCGTCGCGAAGGGGGGGAGAGGGTGTGTATGTACATATGTACTATCGCGACGGCAGGGTTAGCGACGGAGGTCGACGGGGGGGGGGGGGGTCTTCCTTGTAGGGAAGGTAATCCCGGGTGTGTCCCGCCCATCGTGGAGGGAGGTTGCAGCAGCAACGACAACAGGGGCAACAATTCGCACAATGCAAACCGGGCTTTGCGGGGATGAAAAGCCAGTGGGAGCAGGGGGGTGTGTACTCATAGTCGTGCATCCCGTAGTCGTTAGACCATTGACCTCGCATCCCTTCAAAGCCGGGACGGAGCACGCCGGGTTCTCACCGGACCAGTCTCTCACATCACCAAGTGGGAGCAGGGGGGGGGGGGGGGGGTACGATGTTTCAACGCGCAGAAATCAAGAGCAACCCTTACCCCAACCCTAGTACCCACCTGAAGGGAAGGCATGGCGTCGCCGACGACGAGCGGCGACTCGCTTGCCTCCTCTTTCCTCTCCGACACCGACGGTTGTTCCTCCGCGGCCTTCTTCGGCTTGCGCACCAGCTTGCACACGCCTCCCGCGCATTCCATGGTGCGCGCAGCGGGCACCGCCGCGGCGGCGGCGGAGGCGGAGGCTTCAGCAACAGCAGCTACCGAACCGTCCTTCGACTCCTGCTCGGCGGTCTTTTTCGGCCTGCGCACCAGCTTGCACACACCGCCGTCGCACTCCACACCGGCCGGGGAGGGAGCAGGAGCGGCAGGAGCGGCGGCGGGCCCAGGCTTAGCAGCAACCGTTGCCTCGGCGGCCGTTTCTCCCGTAGCTTGTCCTTGCGGTGCTGCCGCCGCCGCTGCTGCTGCCGCTGCTGCCTTCGGCTTGCGGACCAGCTTGCACACATCCCCGACACACTCCATCAGGGGGGAAGGGGTCGCTTTACCTCGCGGGCCCCCTTCGGCGGTAGGGCTACCAGCGGCTGCTGTCTCCTCCCCGGGTGGTGCGGCGGCGTTGGCGGCCGCGGCGTCGTTCTCGTCCTGCTGACCCTCCCCGTAGCGGCCCTCCCGAGCGGTAGCAGAACCAGCACCGGCCGGTGGTGGGAGCAGAGCGGAGTCGAGGGATTCGACCGTCTTGAGGGGAAGCGTCTTGGCGCTGCCGTGCCGGAGCACCTTCCCGTCCTGTTTGCAGAGACAGGAGAGGGGGGAGGGGGAGGTGAAGTGGCAGCGGGGTTCACTTCAGGAAAGGTATTCATGCCATTGCCGTGTCGTCAAGACTTGGGGGCGTACTAGCACGTCTACGTGGTTGGGGTGTGCCGGGATTTTTGCCGGCACAACCTGGGAGGCGAGCGTGTGAACAGGAGCTGAATGTAGCAGTCTTGAGAGCTCCTCGTGATTTTTTTTGTCCGTGTTGTGATGTACGTGGCGAATGGGGTACGGACTCCGGACATACATATATTGGAGTGTGCGCACAGGGTGGTAGTCTAGCCGGTGGAAAGGAAGAGTGTGTTACGGTGGGTTTCTGTGGCCCCAGCGCAGCAGCAAGAGCACGCGCTTTGGTGCAACAGGGATAACATTACGATTTAATCTCGTCAACACTCCTATCTAGCCGTGCTTTCCCGTGACATGGTTTCTGCATACATCACCATCTTAAAATACTTGCCTTAGCAGCGCGCGGAAGCATCGGCCTGCTGCACGCTTCGCCCCTCCCAACAACAGCATTTCTTAACTGCCAGTGCAAATGACCAACTGCTGTACAAATCTCTCGCGCCGTGGATACGGCAACATAGGCTGCATGTAGTGCCCCCCAAACGTCCGTACCTCGGAGACGACGACGTAAAAGGGTACAGTCCTCATGCCCAGGATGTCCTTAGCCCTCTCCTTCTCGTCCTCCTCCAGGTGCACGTGGGCCAGGCTGTTCATCGTGTAAAAGTGCCAAGACGGCGGCGGCGGCAGCGGCAGACAACAACGAGACGCGGGGCAGGAACCATGTTGGTATTTGAGGCTTGTGACCATGGGAGATTCTCTCACCCGTGTTTCCCTCCTCTCAGGTGTACTACGCCAGGCATCACGTTGTGGTAGTGGTGGTGGGCAACAACGACAAAAAAAACATCTCAGCATCGTTCCAAAGAGGAGGATCTCAGAATCACGGCAACAGCATTCGGGGAAGGCCTCGCAGAGAGAAGTCCACCTTCCGACCAACAAAAAAAACAGATGGACAAAATAAGCCTCCTCTCTCGTAGTATCTTGAATCGCGTTCCCATGTACCGCACATCAAGTCCCGCTTTTTAAACCTCCGGCCCTCCGAATACACGAAGCGGCAACTGCATTTATTCGTTGTAGCGATACAGTCGACGGGTCGCGCATCCCAGCGAAACAACGGGAAAAAGCGCGTTTTTCCTTACCTGGTCCACCTGCCCTCGGAAGCGGCCTGCGAGACGAGCTCGCGCGCCGCGCTTGAGTCGTCGATGTTGACCGCCACGAAGGTCACGGAGGGTCGCCCGAGGGCGATCGAGTCCAGGGCGTCCAGCGCCGCGGGGCAGTTGGTGCACCGGGTTGTCCAGAAGTCTGCCATGTCGTTGTTTGGGATGGGAGAGAGGGAGAGAGAGGGAGAGAGAGGGGGAGAGAATGGGGTCTGTGCTCATGATTGGCATGCCGTTATCCTTAGATCATAGAAATCGTTCACATCCCCATAGGGCCGAATCGGAAAACATGGGGCTTTCGCTGACCAGGCTCGGGAATCGCTATGAGCGGAAGGGGTGAACAGGCTTGACCGACAAAGCATGAAAGTTCTGTGCGTTGTGGTGCGGAACATCAGTCATCAGTATTGCCGTGCGCTGCTTACAGAGCAGTACCGCTGCCGTTGGTCGCTGCCCGCATAGATATAAATGAACCTCTGCAACTTTTCCTGAGCTGTGGTGTCTTCCGTGTCGCTGGTTGTAATTCTGATGGAGGGCGATGGGGGTGAGGACTACAGCAGTCCATCCCGTCCGTGCAAAACCGGCGAACGTTTCGTGGAGCAAACCGGTTTCTAGGGGTACCGCTGTGCCAAGGGGTTAGGGTTAGGGTTAGGGTTGAAACAGCTTTGCAGATATACAAACTCGAGAGAAATAGATGACGCAGCGTTCAGGGTTCGAGGGAGGACTGGAATCCACCCAAAGGCGGGACCAGGGCTCTACACCGTAATGAGAGAGACAAGTGTATCCGTGTGAGTTTGACCTGCTTGTTTCCGTTTGTGTGAGAGAACAAGCACAGAGTTCATCAGTCGAGAGTCTTCGTTATTTCCGATACGCGTAAGGGCGCGATTGCGCATGGCTGCAATGGGGCGTACTCTTATATTTTGCATGCCTTAGCGGTTAGACGATTGACCACGCGTCCTGGAGAGGACGGAGCATTGTTCCCACAGGACCGATCACGGATGGCCAATCTTCCTTCCTACTTTGCCAAAGGTGGCTCAAAAATGTCTTCCCTAGTCTGTCTATCCTAACGATATCCCGTCTTTTCAAACCACTTCCTACTCCCCAGTACAGCTACCGTCCTCTCCTCTCAATTCCGTGCCTCAAACATCTCCCTGTACGTCCCTTGTATTTTTCCCAGCTCAGTCATGTACACTTCCCTCTCCTCTTCGTACCACGGACATTCCGCGACTACATGAAAACGGTCTTCGCATTCGAAGCCGCAATCACATTTGAACTTGTCGTCTTCGTCGTCTACCGTCCTATGTCTTCGTAGACGTTCTCGAATGCCGATGTCCCCGGTCCTGAGCTTGACCTTAAGCTTTGTCCCCGCATCCATGGCTGCAATGGGGGGTCTAAAAAAACATTGTTGCTTTATGGGGAAAATACATCGTTCTTGTGTCTGCACCACCATAGCCCCCCAGGGGATGCATGCACCCCCCCCGGGCGCACAAATACTCCCGCCGCTGTTGGGCACGTGAGTTTGGATATCGCGAAGAGTAGACAGGAGTTCCGGAAAGCGGTGTGTACGCGAGAACGGGTTGGCCAAACCCCAAATCCAAAATCCAATCTGTGGCAAGGATGTGCTGATATGTACGCGTGAACACCATACCGTTGTACACCGAGGTGGAGAGGGGGGGGGGGTGATATCTGAACGCATGCCCGTATTGCGACACGAGCTTACTGATGATTTTTGGGAGTGCAGATGTGCAGATGCTCTGCAGTAGCTCTCACAGCCGGAGATCGCATATTTCCTGCGGAATGTTATTGTTACACGCTCGCTCGACATAAGCAACCATTGCGGTCGTCGGTCTACTGCTGTCGTTATCCCTGCGGCACCCCGCCGTGCGGTGTTGGTCGCGGCCGTGGTGTTGGTCGCAGCCGTTGGCTATTGCGAATTTGTCGCTCCCTCTCGTTCGAGACCTGCTCAACAAAACCCTCGCTAGGAGCCCTCACCGTAGACTGTAGCCTTAGCGTTTCGAAGATCGCCAAGGGTAGCGGTAGAGCTCGCGTCGGCTGCTCCATCCTTGCCATCACGGATCAGCAGCGAGGTGCTGGGGAGTGCCAGCAAAGCATCGAGTCCCTTCGACGACATGGTCCAGGAGCGAGACGGCCTCGACCTTTGAATATTCTCCGCGGTTCAGGGGAAGAAGGTGCCGCTAAACTCCGGGAATGCTCAAGCCTCGAGTGGACGGCGTCCCTCTGCTCCGTATACTTGGTGTCGTTGATGGCTTCGGGCAGAGAGGGTGCCCGAGAGAGACGAAGAGAGAGAGATGCGAGCGAGAGAGGAAGAGGGAAGATCTCAAAAAGCAGGCAAACGCCGAATGTGTGTGAGCAGAAATTTCAAATTCAAAAATCAAACGAGGGTCCCGTCGCATAGTACCGCCCAACATGCGCCCTGTTTTTTCTCCATCTCTTATGCGCACCCCCTCCGCAGCACTCAAACAGCAGATTGCGCCCTCTTGCAAACAGGGAGCAGCGGAGGGGGGAGACCTAGCCCAAGAGAAACAGGGTGATAAATCGTGTGGGTCCCTTGTCGAGGCCGCCATTGCCTAGCTTTGTCGCAACTACGTCGTCAAGGGTACCAATATCCCGAAGACTTCTGCGGCACATCTTGACTGCTGGACTGCGAATTAGCGATAGGGGACGTGTCTTATTCGCCAAGCAAGACGGCCAGCGAGAGTTCACTGCTGCTACTGCTGTGGTATCCTGTGTTGCCGCTGCTCTTTTCGAGGCCACATGCCACAGCAGTGAGCTGCTGGAGAGGGAGAGAGAGGATCAAGTACGTTCGTCCTCACCGCGGGCTCGTCGGTACCTGGTGAGTGATGGGTGACCCTACAGCGTTGGTGTCGTCGTTGGCGGGTCTGTCGACAGTCGACAGAGTCTACAAATGCATTTTTCGATTTTCTACTGCTGTATGCATACATGTACCACCGTACAGCAGTACATAGTGAAGCCCGTAAACGTTGCCACAAAGGCTTGTAACAGAACGTCTTGTGCCGTGGCATGCGTATGCAGAGGGAGGTTTGCCGCGAGCCGGCCAAGGGTTGTGCTTGTTACATAACGTCCGTCGCACAAGGTCACGTAATCTATCTGGCTGCCTGCAAAGCAAAGTTCCTCTTCGCTTGGTGTCAACTTGCACTAAAACTTGCAAGCTGCTGCTGTGGCATGAACCATGAACGGTCGGAGACGAAACTTGGCTCGTTCACCAGACGACCAAAGTGTCTAAAACAACCTATGTAACAAGAGCAGCCCCCTTGAGTGAAGAGAACGGCACAGGTTGTGATTTTTCGAGGAACACTGCTGTTCTTGGACTGGTTGCCAACGCCCGGCTCTAAAGAGCGTGCGGGGGATTGGTACACAGTACTGCTGTTGCTCGATCCTCCTGGTGGTGTTGCGTGGACGATTGGATGTGTATATTGTCTCATACACACCACCAGTCTAGATGGCTCCCGACGTGGCGATGGACACAAGTATCGGAAGGAGAGCAGTTCATTACCAACTATAATACCTTCTCACAAGCATGTTTGTCGGTGCACAATCACTTCGCTCCCGAAGAAAGAACCACTGCAATACTTCACACAACTCACTCCCCGCCCGATCCACGTGCTTGCCCTTATGCAGTGGGGGCGGGGGGGGCGGGAGGGGGTGCGTTGCGGTGCCCCTCAGCAAGTGGCGTATCCTTGCTCCCCAACGGCGGTAGGGACAAGCACAGCTCACCCCAAGACTCGGTGGACGCGCGGCTGAAAACAGGGTAGTCTTTGTGAGAAACAAAGCGCTGATCGCAGGCGGCGTAGATCTTCTGGAAAGGAGAAAGCCGGCTGGCTCACCCCATCTCATTTCGAACCAGAAGATGGCGCACGCCGGCAGGGAAGGCGACTGTTTTTCGGAGGAGGGGGAGGGGGAGGGGGGGTTGGTGGGACGCGCCGTGCGCAAGGAGTTCCCTTTCGGGCTACTGGAGGGGAAGGTGGCCTTCTGCCACCGGCCGGACGGGGACGCTCTGCTGGTCCGCGTGGTGAGCAGAGCAAAGACGGTTTTGACCCTCGATTGGGTACGTCTGCACGTCGGTCAAGGTGTTGATTTGCCTGCATCGATCCCCCGTTGACCTGCTGACCCTTTTGAATGTGCGCATCCTTCGCTGACACTTCTTTCGCAACGGTCGCCTCCCATGAATCCATCCATCGTACACAAGAGAGCGCACGTGAGGTGGTAGCTGCTGGACGTGAGGGCTCTTATTTTCATGCGTTGTGCCCCTCTCGTCTTCGTCTTCTCTGCTTCCCTGATACCACTCCGTTCACGACGGAAGCACGATCTACAAAAACTGCGCGGTCTTGCTTCACTGGCCGCTGTGTGGCAGCTAGGCCACACAACCCCATAAAATCGAAATTTTGTCGCGGTCGAAACCGGACTTACGATCGGGCATCCGTGCCCATCCCCCCCCCCGCACCCCCCGGCAAGCTAGCTTGAGGCCCAGTAATGCCAACTGACCAAAATTTACTCGTTTTGCTTCGTTTTGTTTTGTTTGGCGCGGCATGGGGCAGGAGTACACCGACGGCGACTCCGAGGACCTCCCTGAGGAAGAGGTCCGAGACCTCCTTCTTCCCCCGTCCTATTCCTCCCCCACCACCGCTCGTACGTCGTCCTCGTCCTCGTCATCTCAACCTGCTGCTGCTGCTGCTGCTGCCGGCGCCGGCAGCGACACCATGATCGTCACGCCCCCGACCCCAGCAGTCCGAGGCCCCGCGGGTGGGGGGGCCAGGGTTTCCGCTGCCAAAGGCGTTGCTGGGTTTCATTCCTCGAGGCGCGATTCTTCTTCTTCTGCCGCCGGCGCCACCGAGAAAGGGGCTTCCTCCGGCAGGAAAAAGAAGAGGGCTTCTTCTTCCTCGTCCGGCGGAGGTGGTAGCAGCAAGAAGGCCGCGGTGGCTAACGGCGTTGCGGCGGATGAGGGCGGCGGCGACTGTGTTGTTGTCCCCGCCTCGGCAGTTTCGCGCCGCAAGGCGGGGAGGGTGGAAGACGACCGTGGAATGGTGAGACTGGAACGGTGGTATTGGTTGTACGTACCGTGTGGGAGCCTCCTGGTTTTTTTTTGCGGTAGCGATGTCATATGTGTTGTACGTGTCGTATGGCAACCTCGCGCTCTTTGTGGCAGCGGTGTCATATGTTTTGTACGTACCGTGTGGGGACCTCGTGATTTTTGTGCGGCAGCGGTATCGTACGTGTTGTACGTGTCGTGCAGGAACCTTGTCGAACCTTGTTGCGGCAGCGGTGTGGCAGGCCGAGGGTAATCGAATCGACGGATGCAGTCTGTTTTTTTTCGTGTGGTCAGTGGGGCTAAGGCAGCCACACTGGGTGTAATACTGGGTGTGTCATTTAGAATGTCAACGAACTTGTCTGTTCCGGTTGGCGGTTGTTTGTCGGTCGATGACA